AACCTAGGAAATCTATGAATCTAAGAATGATAGGTCTCTCTAAAGTTCTATTTATTGGAGAAGAACAATGGAAATAAGGAAATAAAGGAACACCTTAAATGCAATATTTCACAGTGGGGTGATATTTCTGATGAACATGAGTAGAAGTTGAAGTTTTTACTGTATTTTAAAGCAAGTGAGGATTTGATTGTGAATTGAATTGTTTCCCTGTTGTGGCAACTTAAATATTACGTAATTCTTTCAATGAATTATGAACAAAATGACACACTGGCTTAAACATGATTGAAATTGTCCAAGTGGACAAAGAGCTTAATTGAAACTGTCATTTCTTTTCTCTTAAAATTCTCAATCCTGACTGCAGGTAGCACCTGGTTACCTTGTTCAGATAGCCTATGAAGCGTTTTGCTAAAGCTTTCATTATAACTAGGTGTGTTTGTTTCTTAACTACTCTTAGTGATGACATCAATCCTTTTCTAGGAACATTCACCGTACAGTTCTATGATGGTGTTATTCGATGTCTTAAGAGGATGCATATCAAATCTATGCCAGAGGATGCAAAAGGGCAGGTAAGAATACGTTAGGTATCTCTTTGTTAGGTTTTATGTAGATTTTTTTTTTTTGATATCTTGAGATAGTAAAAATGTCACCTAGCATAACTAGTTTTAGATTACAGTCTTTATTCTAGGTCCTGCACTGCCTTGCTTCACCAGTTTCATGGATGATGCCCCAGCGTGCTGCTCAAGTAGTCTTGCTGCTATCAGAAATGTCTAGCTGCCATCCACTCCATTGCCGACTAATCTGTTCCCAGAGTTTTGTCTTGCAGAATTTATAAAACCAGGTGCATCCAGAGACTTTTTCCTCTGGTGTCCTTTCAGGAAAAAGCTTTAGCTTGTCAGTTAGTCTGTGCTGCAGATTATTTTTTTTAATTATTATTTATTTTTTCTTTCCCACTCCATGCCTCTTGTTTGCTACTGTGGTAGCTTTTTACCCACATGTTCTTATTAACATGACTGTTCTGCAGGGGGTTTTTCCCCTGTACCAGAACTTTTGGGGATTCAGACAGATAAATATTTCTTTATCTCTGATAACGTCCAGTTGCTGTTAAAGAAGAGATGCTGAGTAGAAATTGAGGGAGGCTGTGAAGTAGAGGACATGATTTAGTCACTAATCATATCTTTACTTGAAAAAGGAAAACAACATTAAAAACTGTTACGTGTTTTCAGTGGAAATGCCACTGCATGTCTTGCATGGTAACCATATTCTCATAGTTAATGAGAAATTGCTCCACTGAAACTCTTCGAAACCCAGCGACAAGAAATGTGAAACACCTGCTCTTATTTGCTCTCAGTTTTCTTCCAAATACTCCTAACTTGGCAAACAAAATTCAGATATTTCATAATTAACTGTTGTAACCATCCATATTGTGACAAGGGCAGATGGATAAGCCATTGGCTTGAAAATAATTCTATATCCTGGCCTCCAGATTACAAGTAGCTGCATTCTAGGGTTGACCATCTATGCAGATAACATTGGAACTTTGTGCAGGCAACACTGCCCTAGTTAAACTACATTTCCTTAGAGAGATTAGACTGAAATCCATAGTCACACAAGCTTCTTGCTGCAGCCTTACAATACCTATATTGAACCAGAATATAATATTTCAAACAATAGTTCCAGAATGACAGTAAGTTAGGAAGCTAGAGTATCTCAGTTTACTTCATGAAAAGGAAAACTTGAGTAGTGTGGTTGTGAATGAACTAAAATAGCCCTTCGTGACAACGTGAAGTCGTCCCTTACTCTGTCCTGTGCTTTTTCTAGGAAGTTAGGTTGTGTCTTATCTTCAGTTACTACTCTTAGACCACAGGCGTTTTCAGCTTTAAAAAAAATAATAAATCCATTTCTTACAGATGCTGGTTAGCAATCCGTTTTGGTGTCCAGACATGCTTGGTGGCAGTCCAGCTCATATATTATTTCTAATTTTTCTCAGTAGTTGAGAGTTACGGTGTCAGTCTCGTGCATCTCAGGGGCTGAATGTAGGTGACTTCAGTGAAGTCTTGAGAAAGAACAAGGCGACCAAAATTACACTTTGTATATGGATTTAGAATTGAGTTGTCTTCCAGCAAGAACACCACCAAATATGCTTTCTACAATGCTAATTGATACTAGTCTTAGCATTGCATTCTGCAAAATTAGATAGCCATGACGTTTTCTAGCTTTCAAAGGCAGCGATACTTCTTTTTTGTAACATCTCCTGCATCGTTATACTATAGCAAAATGTTTGTTTTTCAAATTATTTTTGTGGTATTTAAAAAATGTTATCTAAGGTTTGGTTTGAAAATGAAGTTATCTGAAATTGAGCTTTGTCCAAGTCCAGGAGTCAAATGAATGTTTTTGCTTTTTTGCATTATTGATTTTATAAGAAAACATTTATGAGAAGTTATTTAAAGCTTAAAAATAAAGAGCCAAGAATAAAACTTGATTTGAAAAATAGCAAGGTTGTCAGATTTAAGACTTCATGCTTAATTTAAAGCTATGACTTGTTTTCTGTCTGCTTCCAAAGGAAGAATACATTGCAAAAGACGAGTTAAGATACTTCAAGTTCTAGTGCATTAGCGAATTTAACAAATGTAAGATCTGCTTGGAAGGTGTGTGCTAAGCATGCAGAATTTTAATTACATGGAGAAAGAGGGATACACTAGTTAATTCCTTGATTTGAGCTTAGCGTGCCTTGAAGGAGAAGATTGTAAACACTGTAACAAACAATTTCTGAGTTGCAGCAGAAGTGTGTTTTAATAACACTCAGCTGTGAGGGTGGAAAGGCAAAATTTTTAAAGAGTGGAAAATATTTGTGTGGCTCAATGCAATGAGACTGTAGGTTAGATTGCTCTGTAGATAAGCATAAATTAATTGAAATCACACAGAAACATGGCTAACATAGTACAGAGAGAAAATAAAAAAGATGGGGATATTGAGACTGCCCTTGTGAGAGCACATATGAAGTATTTGGATAACTTACTTTTTCTGTTTCATGTTTTTTGTTTTATCTTCGATATAATTAGGCGCGCGAGAGGGAGCAGATAGCGCCGGAGCTGAGATTAGTGACGGAAATCGAACCAAAAGAAGTGAGTTTTGAGGAGGGTTTTGAAGGAGAGGGAGGGGACTTGGCACACAGGAAGAGGAAGCTGAGGAAAAAGCGTGGATTTGCGATTGGGACAGAGGAAAAAAGAAGATGTGACAGGAGACAATGTGAGCCAAGATGTAGGTGGGGCAGACCATTTAGAATTGAAAGGTGAGGGTAAGGAATACAGGCTTGCTGTGGAATCGGCCAGTCAATAGATTGATGATGTTTTATGTATGTGTTTGTATGAATGTGTGGGAGTTGGGAGTTGTGATGTGTCAGGAGAGGAAAACCAGCTGACTCTTCAGTACTGTAGAGAAGCAAAAAGGTGGTGAGCGTAGGCAGGTGAGGGGAGAACAATGTGTATGTGAATTCTACTATTGGCACAAGGGTTGGATTTTAGATACGATTCTGGTTTTGCCTTCCCACTGTTGCAGGTTTAAGACTGTGCAAAGGAATATTTTAAAATATGAGTGTTTTAGCCAATGGATGTGAAAGGCTGTTGGGTAATTTCTACTAACGTATTTCTTGATTGTGCCATTTCCTGTGCTTTGATTTAGTGAATCTAATTAGCATAATGACAGTTTTCCTCAGTAGTGATGAAGTAATGTTTTGTCTTCTAACTACAGTGTCCCATTACTTCTCTCCTGTCAATTTTCTCAGCTTACTTAAAAGGTGAATTTTAATAAGAAAAAAAAAAGAAGAAACTACACATTTTGTTTTTTTTAAAGTTAGGTATGTACATAAGAAACTTTCACTGGGGTGGGAAGCTGTGGGAAGCAGATCAGGCTGGATAGTGTAGAGTAACTGGTGCAGAGTTACACAACCATAGCTCATAGACGGACAATATCAGAACACGGGAGAAGTAGGGAAAACTTATTTTAGGAGGATTTTGCTTTTACGTTATTAATTGGTAATGTGTTCATGTTTAGGCCCTCGGCTTCATGTGTGCTGAATACTCTGGAGAAAAGTCCTGCTATTAAAGATTTGCAACTAGTTTCTGTGATACTCAGTGTTTAGTGTCCTGCTGTTGTGGTTGACAGAGTAGATATCTTACAACAGCCCTGAGACAGATTTCAGAGTTCATTGTGTTTTAGACTTGCATTGTTATTCTCCCATTTTTTGTTAATTTTTTCTAAAAATTCTGAAAAAGCCACAAATGCATCTTTTTGAAGGAGGAGTTCCTGTGCTCTCCAAAAGAAGCATAGCCATCTTAGCATCTTAGATGCTAAATAGTTCTCACACAGCAGGAGCTGTGCAGCTGAGCAGTCACTCTATAGGAGTTCAAGGTTAAAAAGCAGGAATTACCTGTGTCACTTTAGTGCCTATACATTTACTCTGAAGCCAAAGTAAAAATGGACCCAGAGAGTTTCTGACCAATTCAGAATCACAAATTTTTGAGGTTGGAAGGGACCTCTTGAGATAATCTTGTTCGCCTACCTGCTCAAGGTTCTCTTCACTAAGTTTAAATTTACTTGTTAATCTAGAAAACAAGTATGACTGTCACCGTAATTAATGTGTCTCTGCTCTGGCTTCTGAGTATATAATCTTCGTTTGCTTCATTTTTATATGTGTCCTCCTACCCTTTGCAAGCTCCACGTCTTAAGGAAGGCATTCAAACAGTGAAATAAAATGCAAACTAAACCCCCTTCGTGTTGTGCCAGAACAGCTGCCCTTAGGACAGGATACTTAGTTCAGTATGGTCCTTGAAGCTCGATATCTTCGTAAAGCTTCCGATTTCAGGGTGCTTAGCTGGCCTGAAAATTAAAATGCTGTTTTGAAGCAGATTGCGCTTCCTGTGCTTCCCACTTTTATCATAAGATCCAAGCTCCAGCCATGTTACTGATCCTCTTCATCCCTCGGCCAGGGTACAGTGTAAGACTTCTACTCTCAGGTCTCCTAACGCCTCACCAGCACAAATAGCTCAATCCCTTTTTTTGTCCTGCTGGATGGGCAAGGCTCTGGATGGACTGGAGCTAATGTGTGTGCTCGTTTTGGCTGGCCAAAAAAGAGGTATGTGTGTTTTTGATTGACTTTGCAGCTGGCAGTTAGACACGCTCTTTGTGGCTGGCATGTCACCAAATGGCCTTGGTAGCTGCCTGCTGTGTAAGCATTGCCAAAGCGCTTCCAAACTTTTCTGCTGCTAGCTAGACTGAGTGTATGCATCTTTCATTGACAGTTTGGACACGGAACACTTTATCTTAGAGGAATCAAAACTGTTGGTGTTTCTAAGTACATAGCTTGACAAAATGTAGAAGCACAACATATGGAAAGTAATGACTTTAAAGTATTGAGCTATGGAAAAGGAAAAGCATAATACAAGGGAAAGTAATGTTTTGTGTTTTGTGTTATGCTTTTCTCATACATCAAAGGAGGCAAAGAAACCTCAGTAGAACTGAAATTTATAGTATGTAATGTGTGTGGGGAAAAGTTGCATTGAAACAAGATTTATTAAATCAAGATATAGACACTTTGTATGACTCATAACATTAAGGAAACAGTCCAGAATAAAATATGGTCTGTTTACAGTTGAGGGGGAAAATTTTTTGCTATTTGTAAAGCACTCATGTGAAACTAGACAAAAAATAATCTTTATTGTACCTTTTTTATATGTGGTAGCACAAATCTGAAAATATTCTTATAGCCAAATTGCCGTGTCGTAAACTAATTCTTCAAAACACTCAGGTGCTTAAGTGTTACTGATAGAGGATGAACATAGCTATTGGGTTTTATATCACATGTAACTTCTCCATGGAAAAATTCTGTACCTTGGTATTAGAGAAAATTTGAAAAAAATATTTGAGTAAAAAGGATAAGGTTACAATTTTTTGCAGTCAGATTAATCCCTGACACTCAGGAGCCATAAGGCAGAGAAGACTACTTCAGACTAGTGGAAAGAGCTTGGCTCAGCCTTGGAAGTTTAGTTCTCTCCATTGACTTATAGGTGGCTAGACTTCATCTACGTGCCAAAAAGTAGATGAGTTTGGGCTGTGTATTCTGTTCACTCCTTGGATGTTTCTGTATGGTCAAATAAGCCATAAACCAAAATGGCACTTATATTAGAATCATAGAATGGTTGGGGTTGGAAGGGACCTCAAAGATATCTAGTTCCAACCCCCCTGCCATGGGCAGGGAAACCCTCCACTACACCAGGTTGCCCAAAGCCTCATCCAACCTGGCCTTGAACACTATCACGGATGGGGCATCTACAACTTCTCTGGGCATATTATCTTAAATGTGGATTGTGAAATTCAGTCATATTGTAGAACAGTTTATTGAAATTATTGAATGAATTATTGAATGAAATTCAATTATTGACTGAAATTCAATTATTGAATGAAACTTGTAATACAAGAAGAGTGCTTTCTGTAGTTACTCTAGAAACACAGATATCAATTTAATTCAGGAAGAACTCTGCCCAAACATGCAGCTGACTGGACCATTCTTTGAGTTAACTGTGGTTTTGAATGCGAGTTAAAATCAATCAGTAATAGAATTGGTATATTTAACAGCCAGGAGGGTGAGAAAAAAGTCAGTGGTTTGGGAGGTAATGGGTTTCTGAAGCTAGGACATGCAAAATAGGAAGCAAGGAATGTGCACAGTGAAAATTCTATACATGGTGGGGTTTTTTTAAAGTGCGTGTTTTGTTTTTTTTTTTCTTTTATTCCATTTGGCATATTGATAATACTTCAGGCTTATTTAGGCAATTTGGGAAACTCATTTTACCACTCTCTGAGTAGTAGCCATAAAAATAAATTCAACTGCTCTTGGACATTGCTAGATGAAGTTTCACTGGGTTTATAAGGTTTATAAGTATTTTCTATTTGAGTCTCAGGCACTTTTTAATGCTTACTTACCATTTTTTCCTTTTTGGAGGACTGGATAGCTTTGGTCAAAGCTGCTGCTGCAGCAGCAGCCAAGAACAAAGCAGGAAGTAAACCTAGAACGAGTGCAAACAGCAATAAAGATAAAGAGGACAGAAAATGGCTAAAAGTTCCTTCAAAAAAGGAAGAAACCTCAACCTCTACAATCATGCAGGAAGTCCAAAAAAAGGAAGAGGAGCCTACCTCTAGCGACACATTTGGTAAAAACAAATTCTATAAAAGATAAAATAGATTTTTCTGTAATGTTGAAGTAGAACTCCTGTTGTTAATTTTGCAATTAAGTAATAACTAGTATTTCTAGAGAAAGATGTCTCATTTGCTATTATGATAACTTTATGATACATAGAATCATAGAATGGCATAGACTGGAAGGGACCTTAGAGATCATCTAATCCAACCTTCCTGTCATGGGCAGGGACACCTCTCAACTAGATCAGGCTACTCAAGGCTCTGTCCAACCTGGCCTTGAACACCTCCAAGGACACTAATGACACTAATCATAGAATCATAGAATGGTTAGGGTTAGAAGGGACCTTAAAGATCATCTAGTTCCAACCCCCCTGCCATGGGCAGAGAAATCCTCCACTATACCAGGTTGCCCAAAGCCTCATCCAACCTGGCCTTGAACACTTCCAGGGATGGGGAATCCACAACTTCTCTGGGCAACCTGTTCCAGTACCTCACCACGCTCAATGTAAAAAATTTCTTCCTTATATCTAACCTAAATCTGCCCTCTTTCAGTTTAAAGCCATTGCCCCTTGTCCTATCACTACACGCCCTTGTAAAAAGTCCCTCTCCAGCTTTCCTGTAGGCCCCCTTTAGGTACTGGAAAGCTGCTATAAGATCACCCCGGAGCCTTCTCTTCTCCAGGCTGAACAGCCCCAACTCTCTCAGCCTGTCTTCATAGCAGAGGTGCTCCAGCCCTCGGATCATCTTCGTGGCCCTCCTCTGGACTCGTTCCAGTAGCTCCATGTCCTTCTTGTGTTGGGGACTCCAGAGCTGAACACAGTATTCCAGGTGGGGTCTCACGAGAGCAGAGTAGAGGAGCAGAATCACTTCCCTCGACCTGCTGGCCACACTCCTTTTGATACAGCCCAGGATACGATTTGCTTTCTGGGCTGCCGGCGTACATTGCCGGCTCATGTTGAGCTTCTCATCCACCAGTTCAGAAACAATTTTTATCAGCTAAATATAGTTTGGTCAGCATTTACTCTTTGTGCAAAGCTTCTAAGTAGCTCTAACAAGAGCAGAATGCAGAGTTTTTTTTACTTCCTTCGTTGTATGCTTTGATTCATATTCCTGCATCTTCTGTTATCTGTGAGATAGTCCCTGATCCTGTTTTAAGAAAAAAAAAATCCGATATGGATGATATGTCCATATTCTGGGATGTTTGAAACCAAGATAAGAATTTCTTCATTTTAATAGTGTTTAACACAGAAGTTCTCGTAATATTTGGCTATAATTACAAATTTTGAAGTAATTTCCATCTAATGTTTTGATGTGTAATATTAAATCTTCAGAGTGTGTCATTTTCTTTTTTAATAGAATTTTAAAGTTTGTTTACTGCAGTATTCTAATAGCAGCTCTGAAATACCTAAGTATTTTAGATGTTACATATTTATGAAATGTGAGTTGATCAGTTTTCTCTTCTGTTTAAAAGTAGGATTTCCTGTAGTGGATGTTCCAAAGATGGCCTTTGTGCAGGCAGAGAGCACGTTGTCACACAAGAGGAAAAGTAATCTAGGCAACTCATTTCAGGCAAAGAGAGCTCGTCTTAACAAGATCACTGGTAAAGTACTACTTTGGTTATTGACTTTTTTTCTCTTTTCAACATAGTGAAATACACGTGCCTACATGTAAGGTACTAAAGTAGGTTCATAAAAGCACGTTCATGTGGCAGATATTCACTGTAGTCTTTTACTTGTTTGGAATTTTAAAGGAGTCTATAAATACTAATAAAATCTACCTTGGTCATAAGTTCAGAGAATCATCTCAGACTCGACTTGATCTTTGTAGTTTTCTGGGAAGGTAACCATCCTGAATTGATTAATTTCTTAAATATGTTTTAACTCCAGCTGCACAATTTTCTCCATTATCAGGTGAATTTGGGGTTTGTTCACGTTATTAACATGGTTATGAGTTACATACCACCACTGTAAACTAAAGCTTTTGTTAGCTGTGGAAAAACTAAATGTTTTGTTACAGTGTATTGTAAAGTAGAACTTGCTGAAAAGAGTTTAAAAAGATTTGAAAGTACATAAGCCTAGCTACAAATTGAAGCAAGGAAGATCTGAATATTTTTTTTTCAGTATCTAAAGCATTCATTCCCTGTGTTTATTACTCAAAGGTATTAATGGAAAACAAGTATACAGCAATAGAATACATTGTATACAATGGAA